ATACTTAATCAAAGAGGTCTGCTTTCTCGTAACAAGGAACCACTACACTTCAGACGATTGGAGGCTCTCAACAAGAAGCAGCTGGACAACTACCTAGCTGATCTCACTGAACGAAGAAAGTCTAGCTGTGTCGCCACGCGGCGGGACCTGGGTCTTTGTGGCCACCTGGAGTGGTAATTGAGTCGGTCATTTATAAATTTTTATGGGGGCAAGAATCGTCGCACCAATCGGGACGCACGTCTGCCCTACTTCACATCTCACAATGGAACAACAACGAGTCGGGTGACGTAGTAGCTTGCTTCCTCCAGTTCTTTTACCTTTTATTTCTTATGGGGCACTTGTTTGACTCACTTTTCTCCCTCTAGTCGGCTCCTTTTAGGTCTCTTTGTGCTAACCAGAGGACCTTATCCCTCCAACCTTTCTTCTATTACAGGTCGGCCCTCATCCTCTGATTTTTCTTTTCCATTAGTTGGCTACCCTCCGATGTACTTTTCTCCACTGCTTCCTTTGAAGGGCAAATTTTTCCTGTCAAAATTTTAAAGGCTCTCATTTTGGTCGCCTCAATTAGCACCTCAACAGAAGACTTCTTGCCACTCACCATTTGTATCTCACTTGTTAAAAACTGAATGCAGTGCAGGAAACTGAGAAATATTGATGAAGTGTTGATCACACCCTATTTATAGGAACTATGTGCACAAAAATAAATTAAAAAAGTCAAATATTAAAGTATTTATTACGCAATAGTCAAGTCCAATTTTTGCAATTAATTCTATTTTTCTTATCGCAGATATCACTTTTAAGAAGAGAATTCGGAAACAAAATATGAATATAAAAAATATGTTCGCATGAACCTTAAGGAAATCCAACGAATCTTGCTTATGAATGTCAAAGGACATTGCCGTGATAGTCAAAAGACGAAAACATCACGTCATTTTCTTCGGTCGATACTCTAAGTCAATTGAACGGAAGCACAGCCAAACGAACAAATAGAATGAACCCAATTTGAAGGGCAATAGTTCATGACCAGGCCCCTCAGCTGATTTCATAACTCCTCACAAAAATGGACAAAGAATAACCAAAGTACACCTTTATAATCCTCGAAGGACCCTTGTCCAAGTGGTCCACCCACTGCCTGAGAACCCAAATTTGCCCTAATGACAGAACAGCCTTACTAAGGATTCCCTTGAAATGGGTGACTGACGACCTTTCAGTCGAATGACCAAAAGTTTTAAACTTGAAAGAAAAAATCATTGGGTACTCATATGCCCATCTTCAAGCAAATTGTGAATATGATGTGAATATATCAATTATGAATATCAAAGGGTTTTGTAGTAGGTTATAAATATGAAAATTTATCATAATAATATGAAATATCCCTTTTAAAATATGAACAAACATGTAACTTTCAACTAGATAGCTCTGGAATTCATAAATAGAGTCATTTAAGGATTTGTGAATTCACTCTATCAATCCTCGTGTTACAATGCACTCCCTCTCTCTCAATCTCCCTTTTTTTCTGTTTTAAAGTACTAATCAGTCCTGACATCGTTCAAGCATCTTTCCCACTAGGTCTACAACAACACACTAGTTATACTACTCATGAGCATATTAACTGCAAGAAAGTGTAAAACATAAACATAAACATAATAAACATAATAAACATAATAATAATAATAATAATAATAATAATAATAATAATAATAATAATAATAATAATAATAATAATAATAATAATAATAATAATAATAATAATAATAATAATAATAATAATATTGAGTACATTCATTAAACTCATGAGGTCATTGTTCAAAATGTATATTTTGATTAAAAACAAAAGGAAATATAGCTAAAAAACTTTACCATCACTAGTCAAAATGACTGAATTTGTGAATCAAATTCTGTGCAATAATTGAGATTTCACATTCCACAGCATTTGATACCATCTCCACAAACTTCAATAATCACACCACCTTTGTTCTACGGTTTTTGAACCCAATTCCCTACGCTTCAAATGAATATCCTGCAGCTATAAATGCTCCAACCCAGATAACCCTCTTCTCTCAAGCCATTCTCAAGACTTCTTTCAGAGTTAAGAGACTAAATGGCATCCCTGAAGGCAGAGAAACCTGCGACTACTCAGGTTCCCATAAGTCAGCCAAATAGGGAGCCTGCTAAGACTGAATTAAAACCCAAGGCTGTCCCTGCAAAGCCTGCCCCAAAACTGGAGCAGAAGCCCCGTGCACCAACTAAACTTCAGGTATACCTTATGACTTCTACATGGTGTATAATTTCTTAATAACATATAATGTTGCTTACAGTCATGTGTCTTCAGGTTCCCATTAAAAACAAGGGTAGCACTTACATGCATGCCACCCAACTCTTATGCATTTACATATCTAACACCTAAACTTTACCTTTTACATTTATACCACCCAAACCATTCACACCGCATCAAAGATACCACAATTTTAACCTTTAACAATGAAATACACTTTTTAATGCATAATAAATGTGGCATGCATGTAAAAATTGAAATTTAGGTGTTAGTTATGTATATAAATGGAATTGAGCAGTACTTCCAAAACAAATTTGTAAACAGTAAAAAAAATTCCAATGAAATTTCAAAATGGAGACAATCTGGCTATTTTAGTAGCCATTTATTTCCTTAAATAGCATAACTTGTAGTTTTTGGTGCTGTCATGCAGGCCAAAGTTGGCAAGGCAGCAGGAAAAAATTAAGAACAGCAGAATTGGCAAGAGATGTCACGCAGAACGATATAGATCTTTGTGTATTTCCTTGTACTCCTATCCTATAAAAACATCCAGTTAATCTGATAAAGTTATCCTGAACCTCAGCTGAGGCTATATGTAACGTATATGCTAGTTTGCCTGCAGCAATAAAATACAGCCTTGTTACGGAAAAAGATTGCCACCAGATAATCTCACATATGGTAAAATCAACTAACAATCTGAAATTAATAGTGACTAAGGCCCTATATTCTGGTAGTCAAGGGACCTGATAGATCAAGGGCTAAAACTTGGTACGAAATTTAATTCTAATTTTGGGAAAGGGGAGAAACTTATTTTCTTTTTTCTTTTTTGAAAGCAAGATAAAAAATTGACAGGATATTTATGAGATTTCCATTGTTGGTAATAATAGTTCGTTTTTCCATTAATATTCTCAAAAAGAAAAAAATTCAGTGAGTTAGAATCTTGTAACTCAATCAATGTTTGGTGGAATTGGATCAATCCTATAAATGTAATAGGGCCACTCATTATTGTGCCAAGCGTGCCCTTGGTGGTTCTTTGTCTTGATCCTTATAAATCCTAGTAGAAAACTTTCTACCATACTTGTAGATGACAGGTCCCTTTTTTTACAACAAAAATGCTTACATGCATAGTTTTTGTACTTTGAAGAAATGATTACTTTCGTAAGAAGCATCACAATAGCCCTCAATATCTACGTACTCATTCTTCCTAAAGATCAGCCTCTTCCCTGGTGCACTCTTCAAGTACCTCAAAATCTGATACACTGCGTCTATATAATTATTCCATGAATCATACATATGATATAGCAGTTCACCACACTCACTGCAAATGAGATGTCGGGACGCATGTGACTCAGATAGATCAGACAACCCACCAGTCTCTATTATCTCTCACTATAAACTAGCTCTCCTGCCTCTGAACTCAGCTTGCAATTGAAGGATTGTATGCTTGCATCACAACATGTCTATTTCTGCCAGGAGATCTAGTATATACTTTCTCTAAGATAAGATCATCCCCTCTGGTCAACGTGCCACCTCAATCCAAAGAAGTATCTGAACTGTCCAAGGTCCTTTCACTTCAAAATCTGTCCAATCTAACTTTTAGTTGAGCAATCTGTCTCACCATCACCAGTGAAAATCATGTTATCAACATACACAGCAAACATAGTAACGTGACCACCATTTTGACAAAAGAACACCACATGGTCAACAATGATATGCTGATATATTATGCCAATAAAGATGAGTAGCCACGACCACTACAACAATAGCCTGAATCATCCGAACCCACCTTTGGCTTGGCCTTATTGACTGATATTTGTCGATTATTCAGCTCTTTATTGTGCATCTCCCTGATAGCATTCTCCATTGCACGTCTGTCAGCAAAAGTCACAAATCCAAATCCACGAGGCCGTCTTTATCTCTTTCAACTATAATCTGAGAGTCCAGAACCTTGTCGAATCGGCTAAATGCACCACCAAGCTGGTGTTCCGTGGTTTACCATGACTAACCACTAATAATACCCGCCTCCTCTTTGCCATACATCGTTGTAACTAACTCTTCAAATGGAAAAAGATATCGAGGAAAGGTCGCTCATTTGAGAAATCCTGCCCTATGCTCACCTTAACAATCTCCTTCCCCATCTAGCGCGACTAGATTGCAAGGGTCACATTGCAATCTCGTCGTTGCCTTCCTAGTTAGTGCTAATCCCAACTAAATTGCGAGGGTGAAGCAGATGGAAGAGGACAATGCGATTTTCAGGGCCTCGTAATCCCATCGTTGGATCTGTCGCTAGCCTTTCACGCCACGATGTCGTCCTTGCCTTCTCATCTAGATCGCGATTGTCACTAACCTTTCATGCCATGATCCCATCCTTGGTTTCATGTCTAGCTCACGATCAAAGCAACTGCGATCCCTCCTGCATACGCCGAGCGGGTCTCCCGATCGCCAATCTCGACTTGTTCGATCGAGCAGCAAAACAATGTTAGGGCTTTGATACGATGAAGAAATGATTAGTTTGGTAAGAAGTATTTTTCCTTCATTCATGAGTTGGGCTTCTATAAAACCTTATAATTTTTTTACAAATAACCCCTAGACTTCTTCTATATTTCTTATTAACAATTAGACCTCTCAAAAATAAGATACATATATCAACATACATTTTGATATTTTAATGCAAAATACAATATTTCACAAAACCTCGAAACTAGTTGTAATATAGTAGAGAAAGAAAGACTTGATATTTGACACTTTCAGCACAAGGAGTTGGTTACAATAATTTAAAATTAAATAGTTTAATATAATGATGGCAAGCATGCTACCAATTAACCGGTATTCATAAGCTAAGATATTACAAAATATCAGATTTAGATAACTTTATGATAAAACATTTTGTTAGGGGAGCAGAATAGTGATTCGCGTGCTACATCCCTCTTGTATCCTAGTCAATTCTGAAGAACTCTGATGATTCCTTTTTTGGTACTTCGCTCACACCAATTCATCAAAATGAAGTGAGTTAGCTATTTAAGTTATGCAAACCAGTTGACTTCTGGAAATTACAACGCCTGAAAGCAACCTTAGTATGTCAAGTCCACAAAAAAATATGCCGCATCGTCTTGTAGAAAAATCTGCGATGCCAAGCAAAAGAAAGAAACTTTTAAGAGCAAGTCCCGGCATTTCTAATAAGTCAAACAATTGTAAACTATTGAAATAATAACTTATAGGCATATTGGAAATCTGGAAGTTATACATTGTGCAATGTACAATTAGCAGATAGACTTCAGCAGCGTAGGCAACAAGGACGAAATAAAAGTCTGACGTAAATACTAACATGATATAATAGGTTATCCCTGCAACCAAGGAAGTTTTTCAAGTATTACTAAATTGACCTCTGAAGCAATTCAGTATTGGAACCATATCTCATAAAAAATTAGGTAATCTCTAAAATTGACTAAAAGCTACAGAATTTATACCTCTGAAATGAGCCCTCAGTTATTTTGTCTATTAGCATAACTTACAACAACAAACAAAACATATGACATTGCCTTCAAAACGATTAAATGAGACAAGAATTCAATAAGGATATTGTTATTCAGACGTAAAAATAAAAGAAATGTTATTCCCAACTTAAAGTGATTTCTCTTTATATTTTCATTTTTTCATTTAAATTATGGAAACTCTCTTTAAAAGTGGCATAATTATTGACCCTGGTGGCAAAACATACAGAGCAGAAAACAATAAAATAAATAGAAATCAGAGAGATAAGCTTTGCTCCTTCTTAATTTGGTCATGCAAGAATAAGTCACCTGAATGTAAGAAACAGGGAACATCTGAAAAATCAAGTAATTATTGTTATTTAGGACCATACAAGTATTGAGAAATGTTCGATGATTCAGTGAGACTTCATCAAAGTAGAAGAGTACAGATTAACTCTCATGTGAACAGTGAACTACAAGAAAAATGCAATATCTAACACTAAGCATGCTTTTCACTGTAGAGTTCAATAAAATAAAATCTCAACCAAATCTTTGGTTCAACAATGGAACCATCTCTCATAAAACAATTAGTTATTTTCAAAATTTTATTTAGCAGTGACTTATAAATTTGAAATGTAATTTACCGAGTAACTTTTCTATGGAACTTTTTCCTGAGGAGTTGATACCATAAGTAGGATGGTAAAACTTATCAAAAACCAAAAGCTGCACTTATAAATCATAGAGTTTAACTATCACTGCTAGGCCCAGAGTCAAAGACTTTTCAAGGTGGGAATGGACGATCGGAGAGTAAAATTAACTTAAATTACAATCACTAAAGCAAAAATAATAAAAAAGCCATAAAATTTGCTCTAATGTTGTCCCTTCTACATTATATAATTCTCTTCTTTCCCTCTTTTTTTATCTGAATTATTAAATAACATAATGAGTTTTTAAACAAAGGGAAATAACTAGAATTCTAAATCACCATACTCAAGAAATAGAAGTATAATGTATGCTAATCTTTAACTTAAACCATGTAATGAGTCATGCCATGTATTAAATCTATAAATGGTAACAATAGATGGTGGTGTATACATATTATATATCTTTTCATTTATGTTTCTAATGATCATAACATTTCATACTTATGTTTCTTTTCTTTCTTTACATCCGTCTCTCAAGTACCATCTAAACACAATCTAATATACCTATGGTTGACACAGACTCTGTCGACACAACAGGGAGCACAACAGATCTACTATTAATTGGGGTCAAAAGGCACCTACTTAGCCCTGGCTGGCACATCTTCGGCACAACAGAGGTGGTCTTGATTCCATTATTATATTGAGTGGAAGAAACACATGTATGCGTGTATTTCGGTGCCCACAGCTAATAACATATGAGGGTGAACACCTTCAACATGCACATATAAGCATTTATACATATAGCATTTTCATTACATTTTTTATATCATATAGTATTTCTTTAAGTGATATTATATTTTTATGTACTAAATGTTCTTCTATAAGTATCTAAAAGTCATGTTATAATCATCTAATATCTTTCTATAGGAGAAACAACCGTGTAGTCTTTGACATATATGTTTTGTACTTGACAATATGAAGACCGAAGGATTCATATTGTCCTCTTCATCTAATTGAAATCCCCCCTGGTTGGATTATGTAGATTGGGCGTTCATACCGTCAGGCCTTGCTAGTGTGGGAATTATCATTTGGGATGATTGCAGTTGCGTGGTTGGGTTTGGGCAAAAAGAGATACAATGGGATAGAATTGGAAGCAGTCTTATAGATCAAGGTAGTTGTGGAACCGTGGATGCTTAAGGCCACACGTATAATCATGGAAGGAGATAATAGCAAGGTGATGGATGCTCTTCAAATGTCAATGGAGAGGACCTTTTAGAATCAACAACTTGGACAACGCCAAGACTAGACTTTGTTAACCAACTTTCATTAGGCTTTTTTTTCATACTTCTAGATATAACAATGAGGTAGCTTATTTTTGTGCTCAGCTTGCCCTGCAAGATAGTTTTGTTAGTAAAGCTTTCATGATAATCATCCATTATTGTCTTTTGTAGAAAGGGATAGAACTTTTTGTGAATCAGATATTTCAACAGTTTTATGTACCATTTGTAACCTTTTTGATATTTTAATGCAAAATGCACACTTTCACATTATAGAACATAAGTAGAAAGAACTGGAATCAGGAATAGATTAAAAAACAATATTATAATTCAAGTATATAATTACCTGCTTCAATTATGAAAATACTTCCCAAACTTAATCAATTCTTCTCAATTGTGAACTCCTAGTAACCATACCCAATTTACACATGAGATAAATATAAAATAAAAGTCATTTAAAATATTCTTAAGCTTATCTTACAATATCTTTTAGAAAGATTATTATCAATCATGAATCTTTTATATTCTTAATGAATGAAATCAAGTCTTCGGTAGTTAATATTCTATACTTAACTCATATTTTCTTTTTTCTAAATCACTTCAATTTTTAACTATATTTTACAATTAATTAAATGGCTATAGATTTTAAATTTCTTTCATATCAATATGAATTAATAAGACTTTATTGATTATTTCCTGAATTACATCTCAATTAATTCATGATTTATCAAATATTAGTATTTACAATTAACTAATTACACCTATATAAAATTTCAAATATTATTTTATATTATATAAAATCTAAAGGTGACCTAAATTCACAAAACAGTTTTTCAAATCAGCTAATATTTATTGTTATGTATACAACAACAACAACAACAAAGCCTTAATCCCACTATGTGGGGTCGGCTACATGAATCCTTTTTCTCCATTGCGTCCTATTTAGTATCATATTTTCATTTAGTTCTAGTAAATTAAGATCATTTTTAATACAAATTTATTGTTATGTATATGTTCAAAAAATAAATATCTCAAAGAATATACCATAACTAGATTCATTTTAAACTTCATGATAGTGAATTAGAGATTAATACCATAATAAGATTCATAACATATTCATTCATACGCAGATAATTATGGCAATGCAAACTTTAAATAATAAATCCTCTCTAGGATTACAGAAATAAACAAAGAAATACAAAGAAATAGTTTATTGACATATATCTATCACTAAAGAAAATTAACTAATTAGCATCAGATTTAGCATTGCATATTTTTTGAAGTTTTAGCGTTGAATTTACATCTATTTAGCATCGTAAAAGGTCAAGGGACGGTATGTATGTCAAATAATTTCGAAGCAACATATTTGTGTTGACTTTAGCATCATTGATAAATCGACACAAATATTTTGCATCGACATTAGCGTCGGCAAGTTGATAACATAATATTTTCACTTAATAGCATACCGGATATTTTTTATGCTAATTTATTTGTGTCGCAATAATCTGACACAAGTCTAATGCAGATGCCCTAAATTTTAATCTGGTGTGCTCCAGCCTCAATTGCACCCCCTTCACTGCTTGGTAGGTTGCTCAGACGATATGAGTTCTACACAGAGCGTCCGCAGGTTTTCTCTAGTTAGGTTGCATCTCTAACAATTCATCTTGCACTGCTAGGTTATGGAAGTTCTCTGGTTTCCTGCTCTTCTTGATGGTTATTTTTCCAAACCAATCTCTTTTTTTTTTTTGGGTAAAAAATAGTTTCGGTGTTAGATATGTAATATATAAAGAGATGTATGGCTTGTATGCAAATCTTAAATTTTAGTTGTTAGACGTGTAATACATAGGAATTATGTGGTTTTTTAGGAAAAAAAATTGAAGTTTGGGTGCTAGATATGTAATGTATAAGGTTTAGGAAACATAACAAAAAATTGAAGTTTAGGTGTTGAACATATAATACATATGAGTTGTGTGAAATGCATGTAAAATTTAAATTTTAGGATTTGTATATGAAGACATAAGAATGGTGTAGTTTGTATGAGAAATATACATAAGTTTAGGTGTAATATATGTAATACATAATAATTTTGTCATTTGTATGTAAATATTCGAATTCTATCATTTGTATGTAAATATTCAAGTTTTGTTATTAGACATGTAATACATAATAATTTTGTGGTTCTTTTAAGAAAAAAAATAAGGTTGGGTTTAAGGAATGCAATACATAAGAGGTTAGTGGCATGTATGTAAAACTTAAAGTATATGTGTTACATATATAATACATATGAATTGTGTTTTATGGATGTACAAATTGAAGTTTTTAGGTATACATAAGAAATGTGTGACTTGTGTGTAAATACGAACTTTAGGTGTTTGATATGTAATACATCAAAATTATGTGGTTTGTATGAAAGATTTGAAATTAGGGCGTTAGATATGCATGTAATACATGAGAATTGAGTGGAAGACATTTAAAATTGAAGTTTTTAGAAGTATAATACATAAGAAATGAGTAGAATGAGTGTGAAAGTGGAAGTTTAAGTGTTTGGTATTTAATGCATACGAATTGTGTTGAATATATATGTAAAAATTGAAGTATATGGTATATATATGTAATACAAATTGTTGTTCAAGTTTTATATAAGTAGTGTCTATGTAAAACAAAAAGAATTACGTTGTCTGTATGTAAATAAATTGAAGTTTGGGTGTTAGATACGTAATACATAAGAGTTGTGTGGTTTGTATGTAAAAATTGAAGTAATAACATTAGATGTTTAATAAATACGAATTGTGTGGTTTGTAAGTTAAATTTAAAGTATAGGTATTACATATGCAATACATAAGATATATTTGTTTGACTGATATCTAAATGTACAAATCTATAAATCTATATATATGTTGCAGATGGATATTCAAATTTAATATCATGGATATATAATAGATTATATCTAGGAAGAAAAAGACTCACTGATGAGTTCATAAATGGTGTTGAGAAATTTGTGCAAGTGGCAACATCCTGCCCATTTATCTTTCAGAAGATAAGTTTTGATCCTCTTGTGCGAAAAAAAAATAAAACATCTCTAACAAGTAAAGAAGTTAAGTTGGATCTATACCACAAGAGATTTAAACACAATTATTAGAATCGGACTGCACATAGTGAGTACGAAACAGATGTTCAGTACAATTATGTTGGTGTCTCATCAAATTATGCCCCTCCAATGAAATACGATACTTCATAATGGCACAAACAAATAAATTATTTATGATGCCTGCGAGGCTCACTTTGTTGGGAGTGACTCCAACGAAAATAAAGCATCAAACAATGAAGCAAAATAATTCTATAATTTACTGAATGTTGCACAACAACCTTTGTGAGAAAGTTGCACTACGCATACTGAGTAGTTAATAACGCTAAGAATGTTGAGCATTAAATCTGATTTTAACATAACAAGAGACTATTTCAATCAAGTAGCAGCATGACTAAAGGAGACGAATCCTAAAGTTGATTTAGTTTCGGCATATCTTTACATAAGTAAAAGTAAATATCGTTGTCAGAAATAATATCTTAAGAGATATATTGTTGTGTTAATAATCGTAAGCCAATATAAAGACTAAGTAATAGAGACTAAATAAAGATTTTGTGAAGTTGAGAGATTCAAACCAAGGAGTAGAAAAAAAAAAAATAAAAGAGTTATCCTATACAAGTGTTTCATTTAGTCGCTCATACATTGACTCCAAAGGCTTAGCATCTATGCATACAAATCCTTACATGACATGACAATACCAGATCTTTTTATACAAATTCTTTGAGTCATTGTCAGACAGGAAAGACCAGTGACACTTAGATCATAGTTATCATGTCTTTGCAGTTGAACCACATAGCATTAGGTTTGGCTTATATGCAGATGAGTTCACATCGTACACATGTCGTAACACCCTATTCATGTTGGTCAGTAATTAGTACACCATATAATTTTCTTTTTGATATGTGCATGACCACGTCATTCTTGTTTCTAACTTTAATCATACTAAGTCTACATATCCCGAAGAAAAAAAAATTGATGTGTATTTACAACTTCTGATAGATGAGTTTCACCTATTGTAGGAAACAATACAATATCCACATATCCACAGGCATGCTGATTAATGACATTGCTACAAAATATAATTTGAATCCTGCTCTTATGTGAACGATTAGTGATTTTCTGACTTAAGGGATGTTATATGGTTAGAGCACTATCAAAAGATTGGCTTTTTCTTACTGCATGAATCTGTTCAAGGCATTTACGTTAAAGCATATAGGAAAAAATTCCTAGTTTGATTGTCATCGGAGGTTTCTAGATCATGATCACCTATTTAGAAGAAATAGAGACGTCCTCTTCAAAAATAAAGTTGAAAATCTAGTCCTGTCCTGAAAATAATGGAGGTCGAATTATGACAGATGATTAGCGAGATATCAAATATCATGGAAAAATCAAAATTAGAATTAAATCATATTTTTTATTTCAGTATAACCCAACTGGACAAAACGGAGCATTTTATGAGATCCTCTATACCGGAAGATTGATTTAATTAAACATAATCGCAATGTTATGCATATTGAAAAGAAGTTTTTTATAATAGCTTTAATATTGAGATGATTATTAAGAATAAATCAAAAGATAATGTCAAAACAAAGATTGTGCTTGATGAATTATTACAAGAGTAGGGGTTTAGAACTTCAGGAGACAAATGCAGGTAAATAATAAAACCCAAAATTACATATTATCTCACATTTGACCAAATAAGAATAATTTGTGAATGAATGCACTGTTTGAAATTTCCTAGTGTCTGTGTCAAACTTGAGCCGTTGTGTTGACTTCGGAACATGGAGACATGAAACGTTATGACCGCCTTATTTTTTTATAGTGCTTATTACCAATTGCATTCAGTGCTCTCCCGAAGTCGATACTTAATCTATTAATCGAAATAAGAGCATTCTTCATAAAGTTATGTGTTGGGGCTCTGAAAGTTGACTCGTTGAGAAAACTTGATCTGACTTTCCCCTTATTATTATGCAAGCTCTAGCGAAAAAGTCGTCCTTATTTCTTTTGACCCTATGGAGCATCTGTCCACACATCTATGCCATGAGGCTATATTGGGGGTCCAACACAGTACAGATGGATGTATTCCTTTGAAATATTTGTCTTCTCAAAAATTCAATGGACAACTTTTTGGTATTAATTAATTTTACATGCTCACATGTTTAAGAGCTTAATCGACCGCTCATCTCTGCAGAGTTGCACGTCCGGACGCATAGACGCACATGGATGAAATAGTGGGTATTTGACCATTTTCAACATGTCGATCTAAGTAAAAAAATGTGATTTCGTACGTTGTTATTATATTAATCCTTGGTTCTAATTATGTAGGAGCACAAGCACCTCAGAGACATGTAGAGGAGAGGGAGAGCGAGATCCCGACAAATGTCAGCAGTAGTGGTAGCCAATAGCACTACGTAGTCTAATTTTGAGATTTGGCAACATGCATCAGGGAAGAATGGGAGAGTTTATGGCATGAGACTGAAGGAGATTGCACTTGAGGTAAAGCTTTCTTGTGTTCTTAAAGAAGTTCAAGATCATCATTGTCAGTGCATGACGAACTTGCCAGACTGGTCACTGTTATGAGTGATGAGATCCGTTATTTGAGTGAAATCAACAAGACAATCGAGGACACTCTAACATGACTGACGAAGCATATTGCAGATCGCCATGGCAACAGACCCATGATTTTTATGGTCGAGGATGAGGACATGGATGAGTGAGAGGGAGAGGATGCTCATGATGATGCCCAAAAGAGATCTGCACATTTTTCATATTGTGTGTTGGTCATAGTATTTGCAATTTGTAATTGAATTCTACGCAAAGATGTGAACTTTTGTTCACTTAGCTTAAGGTTCGCAGAAATATATTTGTTTTCATTGTTGGTATTTATTTATGCATAAATTTTGTGTTCTGCTAGTGGATAAGTACATATTGATCAAATTGGTATTCGTTGAATCAATTGTATAAATTTGATTGTCCTTTTATATTTTTTTTACAATTGCTACAATTTTACTTCAAATTTGCGACGGAAATTTCTGACTATAATACCTCAATAATTTCCGTCGCAATTTGATAATCTCTAACGCTAAATGACCTACAGCAGATTTAATCGGACGCAAAACATGACACATTTGCATTGGTCAAAAGTGAACGCAAAGCCTCTAGTTGACATTTGTGTCCCCATCGGGCACCTCGAATCAACTTAACATCAACATGGTCAGAAGCTAAGCCCGATGCAAACAATTAGCATCAGACTATTTCAACGGTAATTGCATTGCCAACCCTAATTTCTGCATTTGATCAAGGGTTTGATGAAAATCCGACTATAAAGTTATTTTGCATCGCATTATCTTTCTTTTAGCATTGGATTATTTCAACTCTAATATGAAAAAAAAATCCATTAGCGTATCAAAACTCCATTTATTTTAAACATTTTTACTAAAAAAATTATAAACTGTGCTAAACTTTCAACATCATGACATTTAAATCCCAGTAATAATTTCACATAATTAACATCCATTTATTCCTATAAAATAGTAAACTACAGTCAAGGTTTTACATCTAATGATAAGCTGAAATCTTTGGTCTACCACCCTTCAAGAAGAAAACAAGCCCCAAACATTTTCTTCCTCTATTGCAAACACTTACTGGCACCAAAGCTCCCTAACATTAACAAATTTATTTTTTAAAAGTGTTTAGAAAAATATCTAGGTCTAGAACGGACTGGATTTTACATTAATTGGAAGGGCACACTATTTCAAATAATAAAGCGATGAATAGAGTATCGTTCTCACGTTTATCGATTACAAAATTTGGCTAAGTACTAATTTATTCTATTATTATTTTATTCAACTATCAAGTCATAGATAAAAAAGTTTTTTAACGAAGAAATCTAACTATGTAATTGGAGAAAATCTATAAATCTATGATTATCCAAAGTCTCTTATGTAAAATTATGTAAAACTCTCTAAATTTTAGTTAGCAATCAAGTAGAAACTTACCATTTAATCTCCATCGTATGTTAAGAAACACGATCATCATATTATTTATTAGAGATATATCTATCCTAAATAATGCAAATGATGGCAATGATAAATACTCATTATATTTTAATTCTCCAAATATTATATGCCCATGCACTTGAAAATTTGATTGTTTCACCACACTTGTTCCATTTGAACTCCATTGAAATCAAAAGAACACAGGAAATTCTAAAATTTGTTTGATCAAATTATATTTAAACTAAGTTTAAAGTAAAATCATAACTATTTTGATATTTCATTCATAACTTCAATATAGTTTACAAAAGAAAGTTAGATAGATCGTAAATTCAGAGAAAATACACCTAGTCTCTACACATGCTTTGGAAAAATAACAAAATTACAAATAAAACACAAAAAATTTGCAAAATTTAAGAAGTAGAACTGAATTTAGCTCTTTCAGACTGAATCTTATTCTTCTCTCATTCCTTTGCATAGTTTCTTACACTCCTCTACACACTAACTTTTCACTTTAACAAAAGTCACAAAAGTGTTTTCCCTACACTCTAATCACCTCATACAGTAACTACTCACAAAACACTCTAATATACTCAAATTCATGTCCCCACAGCCATAACAACAAAAAAAAACTACTAAACTTCTAATTCTGCTCCTAAACCTATTTAGATGATTGTCTTATTGCAGCGCTACAAACAAGCACTACAATGCTGGTCAAGTAGCATTACGATGCTGCAAATGTAGCGTTGTGGTGCTCTCTCCAACTACAGTAGTGTTATAACACTGCTATAGCAACTCCGTTATAGTATTAACTACCGTACACTACTACAATATGTTTATAAATTTTATTATTTCCGCGTTGATATGATCTTTTAGTTCATCCTTGTTTTATTTGTACCATTATTTTTACATCTATATTTGAAATCTTTATCTCCCACAAAGTTAAATTTTAATTTAAAATTTACTCGTAATTTAATTTAATTTGCCTACTCATCAAAAACTTAAAATTATAGTTAAATAAAAAGTAAATGAATCTTATTTAGGTTTTACAATTGTCCGATCAACCTAATCGACTTCACTCGAGAACAAACTCTCTCAAAAGCTCTTGGTCTAGTGATCAGACCATTTTATGTGAAAGCCTGATTGAGCCTTCAATTTGCATAGTATCTTACACAGATCTCCATGCACTTGTGACTCCTTTGTTCGACAGCTTAAGTGCTTGTGTTACCTCGGTTCACATGAATCAATAGCGAGCACACTTGGCACAATTCCAGCTTCAACGCTCACTTTGCTTGTCTCATTCCCCAATGCAGAATGCCAGCAAGCACGCCCAACTCACGCTTAGTCGAACTCATCTTGTCTTCCTATTGCTCGCAATTGACCAAGTGAGCTAGCCCAGCACTTTCGTCTCCAATTCCTACGCAAGCCCGTACGACACTGGACTAGGGATTGTCCCCTTCATCTAGTTCACCTCACCTTAAAACAACAAAAGTAGGAGCATCTCTCGTCTCCTCGAATCTTCCTATAATTCATTTCTTGGGCATCGAAATCACTAGGGTTCAGTTTTTTGCATGTCCACTCTTCGTCTCTAAAAGTGGTTGAAATCGATCAGCTTCACAAAATTGTACCCCTTGTTAATGAGGGGTCCTAAAACATCCTCAAAATTTATTCAGACAAGTAAAGAATGAATTATCAAAATAAGTCTAAAACTTATCATCATAAGAATAGTATCAATGGTGAATACATAAATTTGATATATCAAACATATGTTTAAAGATAATATGATTAAATCAACATCTAGATTCTGATATAAGATGAATAGAACAATACTCAACATCTCATATAGAATGACAATAGTAGACAACACTCATATGATGAAAATAGTGTATGTATATACAACACTCATATGATGAAAATAGTGTATGTATAATAACAGCTATCAATCTTAACAACATTACCATCAACAACAACAAGTTTTTTAGGCTCTTGGTGAGTTGAGGCATAAATCCTTAGTTGAATATTTTGTTGTGTTTGTTCCTTATCAGCAAAATTGAGACAATTTCTCAACAAATGTCTAGACTGCCAACATAAATAATAAACTTTAAAGCCAAAATATGCATATACCATAATGTAGCTTCCCCCACTTAACGAAAGGCTTTGTAGAGTTATTTTCGGTCTGAATATTAACTCCACTGGCATATAATTTTATTTTCTTCCCATTAGATCCTCCAAAAAGAGTTATTGTTGTCACCTCTTTCCAGCTCTTCCTCATGTAAATATCCCTGCGCTTTTGAGTGATTTGGAAAACAAGTTCCACTCACCTGACACTTTTCACTAATATTTAATAATTTTCAATCCCAAGTGGCATTAATAAGAAATTGAATCATTCAACTCAAATAGAAATTCATAGCTTGGCTCCTTTGCAATTAATACTAGCTAATGTGCACACCAAGATAATATTATAAATTTTATCTCATAAAGCATGATTGATTTATCCTTTGAATCAATCTAATAACTTTATCTTACATATGCTTTCATGTAAAAAGGGACACAAACCAGTCTCAAAACAAGTTTACAATCTTCCCAAACATTCAACCCATTTATTATACCTCCCAACCTACCATGATGTTGCCCTCATTATAATCTTTTAGCTTCTTTATCCAACCCATGCATTTACAGGCACATTTCTCTCATTTCGGCTAGATATAATATCTAAAGTCTTCTTGATTCGCAATAGTCAATATTCAACTTCAATTGGTACTTCAGCTAACTTAAACAATGGCAACCGCAAATCCTGAAACATCTTCAGATATTTATCCATGGTCATTGTACCACTGCTTCTGTTAAACTGAGATCTAGAGTCTTGAATAAGCTCGGTCATAGTCGCAATCATTTGGAACAAGGTATTTAAATTAAAGTGGTATTGGGTGGCAATTACTCTACCACCATATTAGCATCCCCATCTCCACTTGAGCATCCATATGCATGGGATAAAATAATATTTATTTTATTAAATTAACCGAATCCAATTCTCTTAAATTACTCATGATTAAAATTTGTAACTATCTTAAGGAATCTTTTAATAAATTAATATTACATAATCTAAACATTTCTCAGATACACTATTTTCACGACCCAACCTAGAGGCTTGGAATTTTCAAAACAAAAAACAGACAGTCAACAATGGAATTCTTTTTAACTACAATGTCTAAGTCTAACAAAAAAGAAAAAGCCATAAAATTCTAAAATCAAAACCACTAGTAAAATAACATATCTTTCCCTAATGTTGCCCCTTCTTTAGAACACATTTATCCTCTCACGCATTTTTTTCCATGATATTAAATATCATAATATAAGTTTTCAAAATAATTTAGTAAAATAAATTACAGTTTAAATCATAGCACTAAAAAAATCAAAAACAACATGTATGCTAGTATTTTATTTAAACTATGTAATCAATCATGTCATGTACTAAATCTATAAATAATAACAATGTATGATGATGGATATAGTTATAAATTTTTCATTTACGTTTCTAATGAGCATCTTATTTCATATGTTTCTTTTATTTCTTTAGATTCATTTCAGGAGCACCATCTAAACATAGCATCACCGCCTTGATATATAATTAAACGACATAATAGTGTGCAAAACATATTTATTATTGTCCAAGACGAAAAAAAACTTATACATCCTCAATTGCCATAGTAGGGTGTTTTAATGCAACAGTTCATCTCCTCAAGGGAGCCGGTAGCAAAGATTGAGAGGTAGACGCCAAACTTGAGTGAGGAAAACTTATCGGGGGAGTCGATCGACGCATACGAAGTCAGGAACATTGACGAGCACAAGCTAAGACTTTCTCGTAACTAAAGGAAGTGGTGTTGATGGATGAACAGAGGAGGCGAGAGGCGAGATGCTCGACGAGTGCGACAAAACCTGAAAGAACAGGCATGGGCGACGATGTGCTAAAATTGAATCAAGTTCAACTGCGATCTTCTGCACAAGGTCAAAGTGATGGAAGCGGAGGAAGGAGGGGAAGCTACAACTGTGCAGATTAGGCAAGCAACCAAAGTAGGTTGAGTATTAAGTTTTAGCTTAAATATTTTTTGTGTTAGTAATTAATGTTAAATTTTATTGAATTAGTTAGGACTCACAGTATAGACTTTTAGCTTGGAAGGGAGAAGTAGGAGTTGTGCATGATTTAAAGGAGGGAGATTGATCTAAGCAAACTCTGCTAAAGTAAACATTGATTTATATTATATCCTAATTAATTTAATTATATGTATTGAATAACAAAATAAAGTTTTTAGGATTACATAAATAAAATGAAGGAACTTAATACGTAACTAATGTAAAGTTAATAGTTAATTAAAATAATATGAATAAATTAAATTTTAGTAATATGAATACAAGGTTTATTATAGGCATCATTTTAGGAAAGTCTAGATCAAGACAAATCCAAAAACAAATAAATCGCTATCGAGTTGAGTGCTCGATCTTATGTTATAGTAATATTTTGTTTTCTTCTCGACTAAATGCATTTACAGTTACTATTATTTTATAGCACTGCATATCCATAATTTATGGTTCTATTAAATTTTGTTCATATTGTAGGAATAACATGTGCACTCAACATTATTTAAATTATCATAGATATTGAATCTTATACAAGTATATTGACTGATATACAAACATGAATGAAATGATCATTACTAGATAGTGCTTGCTTTAGTATGCTTACATATGCATACTTGGCTATAATACAGTTCACCCTTTTATGGTAATAACAAGGAAACGCTAAGGTACTCATACATATAAATCAAAAAGAATAATGATATTGGTGTGCCTTAACTTGTATGATTTTTAGACGGTGCTCCTATGACAGTTGCATAGTTATAAAATTATATATATATATATATATATATATATATATATATATATATGTGTGTGTGTGTGTGTGTGTGTGTTATTGATATAGTAAATCACATTAAATGTTATGAAATATTTTGATCACAAATTATCCAATGTTTTTATATTGATTAAAAACTTAACTGACATGCATACTGTTTCTTTCTTAGTGTATTTTTATAGCCTAGGAGTGTGAGTAATTACTAACTTTAGTTAGCTCACTATTGTTAAGAGAATAAAGATTGAAGATGAAATGATTATAGAAGAAACACACAAATCGTAATAAGTTAAATTAAATTGCACTGCTCTAATTTACTTTCTTTGGTGGCTCTTTCATTAAGTAGATATTAGTAATCGAAAATGAAAATATAAATATTTTTTTTTCCACAATCCAACCGTCTGTACACGTCTTGGTTAATTCCAAAACCCAGACCAGTTCGTAACATATGTTATCTTAGTTTCAATACTATATGAAATAGAGCACAAATATCTACACTTGGGGGTGCATTGACATTCTCAATCAGTACCATAAGAGGGTGAACTTCTTTCAACATGTATATAAAAGCATTCATATATAAAGCATTTTATTACAATCATCATAAGATATATTATTTTCTTATGAAATATTATATGCTTATTATCTACTAAACATCATTATATAAGCATTTAAAAGTCATGTTGTAATTATCTAATAGCTTTATAGAAGAAATTACTGTGCAACCATTCATGCAGCAACGTTGACAAACATGCTTCATTCTTAACAGATGAAGATCAATTTAATATAAAACTAATTGGTATAAAACATATAAGGAAAGAACTTGAATTATAAATAGATTAGGAAACAATACTATCATACAGAAATTTTATTACCCACACCAATTATGTAAATACTTCTCGGACTAAACTTTGTCTTCTCAATTATAAACACTTATAAATCTTACCCAATTTAGAAATGATACATATATACAACACAAGTCATTTAAAACTCTCATAAACGTACCTTACAATCTCTTTTAGAAAGATTATTATCAATCATGATTTTTATAATAATAATTAATGAAATAAAGTCTTTGATAGTTGAAAATCTATCCAAAACTCAAAATTTCACTTCTTTATTAAATCACTTATATTTTTAATTATATCCTATAATTAATGATATGGCTATAAATTATAATTTCTTTCATATCAATACGAATGAATATCTCAATTAATCCATTCATTATAAACTATTACTATTTACTCTAATTACACCCAAATAAGTTGGGTCAACATTATATTATATTACAAACAGACAGAGAGACAAAGAGATAGATAGATAGATAGATAGATAGATAGATAGATAGATAGATAGATAGATAGATAGATAGATAGATAGATAGATAGATAGATAGATAGATAGATAGATAGATAGATAGATAGATAGATAGATAGATAGATAGATAGATAGATAGATAGATAGATAGATAGATAGATAGATATAGATGGATGGATGGATGGATGGATGGATGGATGGATGGATGGATGGATGGATGGATGGATGGATCGATAGATGGATCGATGGATCGATGGATCGATGGATCGATAGGGTCGATAGGGTCGATAGATCAATATATCGATAAATGGATGGATCGATGGATCGATGAATCGATAGATCGATAGATCGATAGATCGATGAATCCATGGATAGATCGATCGATAAATAAATGGATAGATAGATCGATGGATAGATAGATAGATAGACCGATGGATAGATCGATAGATAGATAGACCGATAGATAGATGGATCGATGGATCAATCGATAGATGGATCGATAGGATAGGATAGATCAATAGATCGATAGATAGATAGATAGGATCGATAGGATAGGATAGATCAATAGATAGATAGATAGATAGATAGATAGATAGATAGGATAGGATAGATTGATAAAATAGAAAGTTCGATAGATAGATCAATAGATAGATGGATAAACAAAGAGATAGATAGATGGATAGACAGAGAGATAGATAGATGGAAAGAAGAATAGAAGGATAGATAGATAGATCGATCAATCGATAGATAGAAGGATAGATAGGATAGAAGGATAGACAGGACAAATCGACGGACAGGACAGATCGACGGAAAGGACAGACGGACAAATAGATACTCAAAACTAATTTTAATCAACTTATATATATTATCACGTACATACTCAGAGTAAAAATCCTTCAACTAAAAGACTACAATTAGATACATTTTAAGCTTCATGTTAGAAAATTAAGAATTTGTACAATTATAATATTCATAAAAATTTGTTAAATATTTTGATATTCATTTTTATGCAGGTAACTTTGGCGTCACAAAACTTACATAATAAAACTCTCTCAATGCGTATAGAAATAAAAATTAAGGAATAGCTTATAAAATAAATCTATCAAGACATCTTTCATTTTAAAAATTATTACAAAAAGTTTACACTTTCTGCATAACTTTCGGTACAATAATTAAATTCCAGTATTAATTTCATTTAGGCATTAACCATTTATTCCTAAGGAAATAGTAAACTAAGTCAGGTTTTTACATTTTGCAACAAGAAGAAATCTTCAATCTACCCTTCAAGAAGGAAGCAAATCCTAAATGTCTTCTTCCTCCATTGCAAATAAATACCTGTTACCAAAGGTCGTTCACCCTAAAAAAATTATTTTCTGTGTTCTAAAAAAATATTTAGGTTTATCACTTAAAATTAAATTCAAATAAAACTTACCTGAAATCCTGTTTAGCTTGCATGACTGCCAGCTCAAGTTGATCAAAACCACAGGAAGCCAAACACTCCAAAAAGCTCTCGATTTTAATCTCGACCTTATTATACAAAAGCCCGATCTAGTTTTTTATCTGCACAGTATCGCACGTAGATCTCCACACTTGCATGCCTCTCTTTCTCCGGTGCAATCACACGAGTTAACTCGGCTCACATTAACCCATTGAAACTCAGAATGATTCATGCTCTATCACTCGCTCCTAAATGTGGAATGCCTACAGCTTCGCTCACCAATCTAGGCTTAGGATAAGACCGAAACAAGCATGCCAAACTCATCTCGTCTCCTCTTGCTCACAATTGATCGAGCGAGCTTGCCTAGTGCCAACTCCTCATACTCATCTTCGTATCCTGTTCCCACTCAAGCCTGTTTGGGACAGCACAAGGGATCGATCGCTTCAACTGGTTCACATCCCATATAACAGTATAAGTGTTTGTCTCTCTCGTCGCCTCATTCCATCTCCGTGTGGGTTTGTTCCTCACAACCCTTCCTCTATGAAAATGGTCAAAACCGCTCGACTTCACACATTTTCACCCCCTGATTAACAAGGCGTAACAAACTATATAAAATGACCACGTTAACAACTTTCAATTAGGACATTGCTAATATAATTCAGATTTATAATTTTAAGGAGTCATTCCAAACTTAAACACATTTATTTATAGTAATTATATTTTTCCACAGAAACAAGGAAAGTTCATATCCACCCCCACCTCAAGCCAACCGTAGACAAAAGAAATTGTGTGAAATTGATTCGTACAACAAATTTCACCACAGCAACAACCAAATAACCCATCTAACAAGGAACTATAAATGTAATTATGAAGGTTAGCATCAGAACTTCCAGGAGACATGTACCAAGCTTTATTTAAGTTGACTGGAGTATGAACTTGGTTGGAATCATATGATTTATTCTGTAATATTTTTTCTTGCAAGAACAGTGCATTAATCGGTTTGTTTTGATCACCTCAAAATTCGGTTGAGATTTAAAAAGGGCTGACTTTGCGAGCTAATTGCAGCATCAATTCAGGAACAAGACGTCTTGCAGGAGGTGCAACAGCATCCTCAGCTAGAGAAGCAGCATCACCAACATGGATGTAAGAGAGTATGTCTTCAAGTAGCGCATCTCTACCACCTCTCAAAGGATCCTAGAGAAGGTCAAGAGAAGACAATAAGCATTTTTCAAATAAAGAATACAAATAAAGCCTATTTGGTTGGAGATTGAGCCTGACTCTAGGCAGGTTAAGCCCCCAACATGTTTGGTTTAGTCTTAGGACAAGTAAAGAGATAAGCTTGTAAGCATGATCCTTTAGTAGTCTTAAGCCATTTGGTAGTTCAAAAAGATAATTAATATAAGCTCAAAAATTTGGAGAAGATGAAAAAGTTGAGTTAGAGTGAAAACGGTGTTAGAAGTTAAAATATAATTTATCAATAAGCAGTTTAGCAAAAAAATATTATGTATTCTCATGATGATATAGGTATACAATGCCGGAGAAGCCAAGAGTTGAGGTGCTCAAGAAGAAATAACTATGTTATTTAAAAACCAATTTGAAGTACAAAGAAACTTTTTGAGAGTATAAAATAATTATCATCACATTAATATTAATGTAAGCATATAGAAAATATTACGCTTCCATGTATATAATATTCCAAGTTCAAAATTCTTGATATACTGTTTATCTAAAAATGTTCCAATATAACCTAGTTAAGTCTATAGAACGCATGGTCTATAGATAATCTAACCATCCATATTACCTATTTCGACCTTATCATTATTCATGTCCTCTTTTTTATATATTGGGTTACATGTCCACTTATCTTCCACTATCACCTCGCACTTATCTTCATCCTCAAGATTTACAACTCTAGAATTTAAAGCTCTAATACCTATAGTTACTATAACTCATTTCCTAGCAAGAATTCCTGCTTCAAATACTCTTGATGTTCACATCAAATTCATGTCAATGGATAGCTAGCTCTTTTGTGTGTTAATCATTGAGCACCTATCTATTAAATAAAGACAAGGTGCTTAGATCACAGCCTGGTGTATTAAGTCAAGCTGTTCACCTGGGCACACCTTCGTAATGATTCTAACTTGGAATAAGTGTGAGGCATTGTATCTTTGCCTTGCATTGCCCAAACGCCTATGTGAGCGCCTGACTCATCTTCAACAACACTGCTAATAAGTAGCCGATTAGAGTAATTAGGAATTAATTAATGGTTAACTGTAATCCAATGACTGATCTAATTATAGCATCAAGCATGATGGTGACTCCAAAATTGATGCCAACAATAGCCTCCTACAACGATCGGCGACTCCAAACAACATCCTGGACACTTCCTACAGCCTCCTACAGCGATCGGCAACTCCAAACAGCAACTTGGGCATTTTCTACAGCCTTCTACAGTGATCGGCAACCTCAAACAGCACTTATACAGCAATTTCTCAGCTCAAAAAGCACTAAACAGCAGCATACAGCACTTGTAAACTTTCAAAAAGCATATTCTAGCACTTTCTCAGCTCAAAACAGTCTTAAACAGCAGCCTGCAACAATTGTAAGCTTTCAAACAGCACTTATACAGCCTACAACACTTATAAGCTTTCAAACAGCACTTATAGCACTTTCTCAGCTCAAAACTGCATTTTTAACTCCTAAAACGCTAATTCGCAGTGCTACACAGCACTTAACTCACAAAAAATATTTTTAGAAGCTTCATAATCAGCATTTAAATGGGGCGCAAAATCTGCATTTCAAGACTCCAAGATGGTACATAAACTGCTTCAAAACAGTGCACAAATCAGCATCAAAGTGGTGCATAAAACCCCCAAAATCAGCTCATAAACCAGCCCCAAAACGACCCTATGCAGCATCAAAAACTGCACTCAAACCGTCTCCATGACAGCATTTAAGTGGCCCAAAACCAATACTTAAATGGGGCAAAAAACAACATTTTCAACTCTCTCAAAACAACGATGTATGTGGTAAAAACACTATTTTCAACCCCCTTAAAACAACGAACGTGTGGGAGAAAAAAAAGGCATCTTCAACCCTCTCAAAAGATTATAGATATTATATTTTATAAACCTATGATAATCCATAAAGTATTTCTCTACCGAATAACCCAAGCAACCATATCTTTATTTCATGAGCATATGGCTCTTTCATAGAAGAAAAACGAGATAATAATTGCAGTTGAACATTCATCTCAATGGACATTGATTTTAAAGAAAAGATTTCTCATTCATAATGACAGCTTTGTATAAGCGCAGTTGGTTAGAGAAAAAAAATTAAGCAATCTTTTCAGGATGATTTGTAACATAAAAATCACTAAGATAATCAAAGAAAATAAACAAACAAAGAATTTTGCAATCCGATTTTATTTTGCATAATTCCTATAGGCAATAAAATATATAAACAAAGAATTATTTGCCTGTTTCATTCTCAAGTGATACTTACCTCAAACAAAAGTGGTGGGAAGGAGGAAGTCGACGGCTTCGTTCGAATGTGGGAGGTGTTCGGTCGAGAGAGCGGCGAGCCAAGGGAAGAGGTAAAGTCGAAGTAGGCGAGGGAGAGCTTTACGCTGAGAGAGTGAAAGCAGTTGCCTCTCGAGTGGGAGAGGGGTCGTGCGGTTGAGACAGGAAGGAGAGAGAGGGAGAGGCGAGAGAGAGTTCGCTTTGCAAAGAGGAGAGTGAAGCGGGAGAGAAAAGGAGAGGTCGATGCAGGTGAGCGCAGGAGAGTTTCTGGGCGAACGTGAGTGAAGAGCGGGTGAGGCGCCAAACTTGTCGAGAGCAGGGAAGAGGAATTCACGGTGCAGAGGGAGGAGAGGTTGAGCGAGGGAGAGCGGTGCAGAGGGTGGCAAGGTTGAGTGAGTGCGAGCAGTCTTCAGTTTGTCTGGGAGGAGGCGAGGTCGAGCGGTCAATAGAGCCTGGACAAGGATCAAATTGAGAGAGAGAGGGGGAGCGAGCGGGGGATGGTGTCGAATGCCTGGAAGAAGGGGGAGCCGAATTGTAAAGTCAAAGTTTCGATAGAGCCGTTACGTGAAGCAATTGGCGGTAGACTAATTTGTTTCAATGCGCAGAGGAAACTTAATTGGAAAAACTTAACACTAAATTATATTCAATTATTGTGGGATTAAATGATATATTTGAAATTTGAAATTTGTGAGCTGAGGTAATTAGCCCGTCTTCACCCCGCATTCAGCCCAAGTCGAACCTGAGTTGAACCTGGGTTGAGCCCAGACCCGCTCCCCATAAATTAAAAAAAAAGTTCATCGATTTTCGTGTCGTTTGTGTGCGCACGGAACCATAGTGATATAGATGTCCTTCCTAGATAAAGTTAACGTCTCCGACGCATCCGTGTGGTTTGTTTCATGATCTGGGGTCGTCCGAACAAGTTCGTCGACGATCGGGCCAAAAAATGTGTCAAATTTGATTTTATTGAATTTTGGGTTGTGACTAGGTCATTTTGAAAATTGACTCAGTTTAAATGTCGGTGCAATGTGTGAATTGTGTTGTTCGCATTGCCGAGTCATGGAGGGTTCACCTATGGTCGTTTGATCCTAAAAGAACTCCTTTTCGGGTCCTCTACATGTTAGTCCTTAGCCCTTGCAATTAAGAGTGGAGCGCACAAAAAATGAGTCAAGAATTGGCTTGAAAATATATGGAAGATGGGCTCTATTACTAGTCCGCTATGATGGTCAACAAAGAACTCTTAAAGCTAGATTATGGGTTCTAGGAGTAGGAAACTAAGAGTGGTTTTGGGGTAGCTTGTGTGTTTCACGATAAGCAGCTTATCCTGAAACGCGGCCCACGGGTAGACAGTGGGGGTCGACCCGTGGCCTGCATTTAGTGTAAAAATGAAACCACGTTTTCGGATAAAAAGTCAAAACGTGTGATCCAAATGATATCACGGTATTTTCAAAAATGCCCCGCACTTAAGTTTAGGATTATATTTGAAGGGCAGACACTTAAGTTGCCCCAAACAGGCCCTAAGAACTCACTGAAAATAAAGTCAACAATGTGCTTCCCCGAGAATTTCTCGTCTTAAACCATCAACATCTGGAACATAAACTCTGTTTTTATACCTCAATAAACCATCCTGATATGGCACATATTTCTCTAAACAGCCTGTCTTAACCTGATATAGAGTTTCTGAATACCATTATCTCTGGGTGAAGAGTCCCTATTTCTGCCCTTCAAAGTTGATTACACCGTCAACTGATATGGTTGAACTATGCTATCATCACCGAAATCAACTACAGATAGATAATGTCAAGCTTTGCAGATCTTTAATTAACTACACCTGTTGAGTAATTAAATAATTCAAATTACCTGAAGCTTTCCTACTCAATGAGTCAACAACGACATTCGTCTTGCCGGGATGATAATGATATCTAAATCATAATCTTTAATAAATTACAGTCATCTTCTCTGCCTCAAGTTCAACTCTTTCTGAATGAAGATATATTTCAAACTCTGGTGGTTAACATAAACTTTGCAACTAACTCCATACGGATGTCTCCATTTATTAAGTGCAAATATAATTGCAGGAAGCTCCAAATCATGTGTGGAATAGTTCCTTTCATGATTCAATTATTGTGATGCACATGCAATGACCCTACCATACTGTATAAGCACACAACCCAAACCCCTCAAAGTTGCGTCACTAAAAATCTAAAACCCATCAGAACCTGAAGAAATGGCCAAAATTGGAGCGGACATTATGTAAGTCTTCAGCTTTTTAAAAGCCTCCTCACAACAATCAGACCAATCAACCTTCACTGTCTATTGAATCAACCTTGACAATGGTATACCAATCTGTGAAAACCCCTCAACAAACCTCCTGTACTAACCAACCAGACCTAGAAAACTCCTGACCTCGGTAACAATAGTAGGTCAATCTATAATCGCTATGACCTTATTTTGTTCCACAGATATGTCGTTCCCCACTGATAACGTGCCCATGAAAAGTCATACTTTTAAGTCGAAATTCACATTTAGAAAATTTGCATAAAGTGTATTATTCTTCAAAACCTGCAATACGGCATGTAAATGATAGACATGACTGACATCATCCCTCGAATACACCAGAATATTATCTATAAAGATGATCACAAAATTGTCCAAAAACTGCTCATCGGATCCTTG